CCCCAAATCTCACTTTCTCCGGCGTTAAAATCGACGAATCAACCAAATGTTTCGATATGCGGTACGATCCAACCGACCCGGTTTTCTACGACGACCCAGATCTATCCTATACAATCGATAAACCGGTTAAAGGCTGGGACGAGAAACGAAGACGGTGGTTAGAGTCACATCCGTCGTTTATCCCCGGAGCTGAAAACCGGACGGTTATGGTAACCGGGTCACAATCGGGTCCGTGTAAAAACCCGATCGGAGACCATTTATTGCTTCGATTCTTCAAAAACAAAGTCGATTACTGTCGGATCCATAACCACGACATCTTCTACAGCAACTCGCTTCTCCACCCGAAGATGGGATCTTACTGGGCGAAACTTCCGGCGATTAAAGCGGCGATGATTGCTCATCCCGAGGCAGAATGGATCTGGTGGGTTGATTCCGACGCTCTTTTCACAGACATGGATTTTACTCCGCCGTTTCGTCGTTACCGGAATCATAACGTCGTCGTTCACGGTTGGCCCGGAGTTATCTACAACGATCGGAGCTGGACGGCGTTGAACGCCGGAGTTTTCCTCATCAGGAATTGTCAGTGGTCTATGGAGCTGATTGACACGTGGACGAATATGGGTCCTGTGGGTCCGGAGTATGCTAAGTGGGGAGAGATCCAACGGTCGATATTCAAAGATAAGTTGTTTCCAGAGTCAGATGATCAAACGGCTCTGCTTTATTTGCTTTATAAACATAGAGAGGTGTATTATCCTAACATATACCTCGAAGGAGAGTATTATTTCGAAGGTTACTGGTTAGAGATTGTACCGGGTTTAGCTAACGTGACGGACCGGTATCTCGAGATGGAAAAAGAAGACGCCACGTTGCGTAGGAGACACGCGGAGAAAGTGAGTGAGCGATACGCTGCGTTTAGAGAGGAGAGGTTTTTGAGAGGAGAAAAAGGCGGGAAAGGGAGTCGACGGAGACCGTTTGTGACGCATTTCACGGGATGCCAGCCTTGTAGTGGGGACCACAATAAGATGTACGATGGTGACACGTGTTGGAATGGGATGATCAAAGCCCTTAATTTCGCTGATAATCAAGTGATGCGTAGGTATGGTTTCGTACACTCGGATCTAGGCAAGACTTCCCCTCTTCAACCTGTACCGTTCGATTATCCTGATGAGCCCTGGTGA